GCTGCTCGGCTGAAAATGACGCTTCGCTACTCAAGAATAGCAGCAAATTATCACTGATATGCAGTGACTTGCCCTGCCTAAAGATGGCGCTCCCATCGGCTCTCTCAAGTGAAGGTGGAGCGTTGAGTGAAGGGTCGTTCTAGAATACGGGGGTTAGCGTGCCTGCCTGCGTGTCTGTGCTCGTCCGCGAAAGTGCCTTCGAGCCGCGAAGCTTCGGTATCGCGCGAAGGCACGCGTCGCGTTTGTTAGTAAACTGCATAGACCTGCCCCGTGTTTGTACACAGGGGTGGGCGCCGCCGACACACTGAGGCGCTCGTAGCAGGCTCCGCCCAGCCCAAAGCGTGCCATCACCCTCTATAATCACCTGACAACTGCCGCAGCAGCTGCAAGGCTGTACCTCCGAGCACAGCGCATCGGGGAGCTTCGGGCTGGACGGAGCCTACGCGTCGCTACAAGCGCCTCACTATGTCGACGGCGCCAACGGCCTCGAGGACATACCGTGGCGCCACCTACGTGATGACGTCACTCATAAGATGCCGGGTTGTGTTGTCTGCTAGAACACCGCATTTCCTGCGCTTTTGCTGTGGACGCCGTGCGCGCTTCCCTTTGTTTTGAAGCTCAGTGCTCAAAAAAAAAAAAAAAAAACGGTAAGACCTGATAATACGGGCAAGCAGACTACGAATCGGTGCACCCGGTGGCACTCTAGTGTCTCGTTTGCATCGTAAAATCGCGACTAAGAACCGGTGCAACCACGATGGACGATGCAAGTGGTGTCGCGAGAGCAAAACTGCCGTATTCCACAACTACTAACGCAGCAAGGCGAGCTCGCGCATCCTATCCGTGACGTCAAAACGATCGCAGCGCTGGCCTCTCTAGTGGAGGCCCTCGCGGCCAATAGTCGGTTAGAACTTTACACGTCTGCGGCACTTCCTCCTCGAAAGGTGGATGCGCACGAGCCTGGCTCAACGGGCGTGGATTTCAAACTGACGTTGGGTGGTCGGTGGCCCCTCCTCGGAGAGCTATATGCCGAGTCACGGCCGGGCTAGAGGAGCGACATGCGCGCACTCTGCTCCAGTCTGGCCGTGGCCGAGCGGCTTTAGTCGCAGAGACTTTCGACGGCCCAACTTTGGTCATTCAGGCGGGGCCTCTGTCGACTTCTTCAATTGTATCTGGCTATAGACAACTGAGTAGGGAGGCGAAGTTGAAGCCACTTATACCTACATGTGCGTTAAAAAAATCGAAGCCACTCACTCCTTCGTGTAGAATGTACTCATAGCAAACACGACGGCATACTAAAGCTGCAGAAGAAAGGGAACTTATCAAACTAATCGGATTTGCAGAAGTTCATAACATCTGTGTAATAAGAACAACGGTTCGTAGATTGACACAACGTGAATGCTGGCCTTATTGTTGTCGAAAGTATGGGGCAAGCTGTCCGCCTAAGTAGTTTTCTTAGTCGTAGTGTTCCAACCATTAGAATCACCCCATTTGATTCTCTGGGCCACTTATGTGCACTCCTGCCACACGAAACAATGGCTTTTTTTTTCTTTCTATCGGGTGAACAGGGGCTTGCCGTATATCTACGTGACACTGCGGATTCGTAGATTTATTTATCAGTTAAAGCACACATGGTTCTTGTGCCAATAAACACCATCATCTGTCGAATCAACATAGAAGTGATAGGTACTTCTTTATCCTAATCTTACACAAAGTTCAACTCCCGCTTCGCTCAGACAGAAAAGACGTATAAAAATTCCAGCATATGTACTGGGTGAATGATGAAGAGTTCGTGGCGAAGCTCGTGAAGCATTCATGGTTACAGCGTGAAATATTCAGTGGTTTCGCCCGGCAGTAATCAAAGCGATAATGTGTGTGAAATTTTATTCAAAATTCAATGACTAGTTGACTGTGATAGGGAATCTTGCACGGGCGTGACTTTAAAGTTTGCAAAGACAACGCCTATGAACGTTCTCCTGTCCGTGGTGGGGTTTAGTCGACGAGCACGAGCCGCAGCGGCTTTCCGCAACCGGCGCTCCTTGTCGTCCCTGTTACTCCAAGCAGCTCAATCTGGCAAGCGCATTCGTACAGAGTACAATTTACTCGTACGGTGACGATCCGTGAAATGACAGGTCGCCGCACGGCGTAATCCCGCGCAGCAGCCAATCGGAGAGCAGCTGCACCGCCAACGCCATCTAGCGTACCTTCACCCGACCGCCATATTGCACGCTTGCATATGGGCCAGTGCCATCTCGGAAACTAGACGAGAAATGGAGATGACGACACAGAGTGTGTACAGCGCCATCTTGTATATCGTCACCCAACTGCAGGTTGCATGCATCTCTATGGGACAGAGCCTTCTATTGTACAATAAGGAAATACTATGGGGTACGCCGGATGGATCGACGATCGACAACCGACCAGGTCTCGCTATAAGGAGCTTCGCCCCTAAAAGCAAACGGCACGTCGACGACTATAGTAGCGCTGACGCACATAAGAGCTTAGTCACAAACATTGTCGAAGCTTTTACGTTAGAGTTAGTATTTGTCGGTGCGATCGCAAAATATCGCAGTGAAATAATGCAGGAACCGTGTTCAAAACCTGCGATTGGTGCAGTGTCAGAAGAATCTATGACCACTCAGGCAAATAATTTATTAAATTGATACACGTGCTTTCGGATAACGTTACACAAGTGTTGCCACTTTGTACAGTGGGGATAACACCGGGGGATGATTCATAAACAGCTTCGACTACAACGAATTTTTCTCACAGTGGTCATGCGAAGCACACGCAACGTACTCAACAAGGCCTTGTTACGAACTGATAATTTGAAGTGCCTAGAGACCGTGCGGCTCAATAGTGTCAGTGCTGCGTTGTGGTGGTTCCACATAGCGAATATAAAACGGGCATCTGTGTGGGCTGGTAGTGAAGTGGCGAGGTAGGTTTTGATCACTCGATTTTTCGCAAATGACAAATGGTCAATGGCTCAACAATTGCGAAGACATGCGTGACAGCACGGACGGCGGATACAGTTGCGAAACTGAAGCTGTTTTAGCTTCCTAATTGTGCAGAACATCGTTGGGGCAAACTTAAAAGATGTCGCGCTCTTCCGAGTCCTTTCTTTCGACGTCTTTTAAGTTTGCGCCAACGATGTTCTGCACAGTTACACACCAACTAGCCCGGCAGCATACGTTACTGAGCCTCCTAACACTTCCAGCTTTTGATCAAGCGTATGACGGGAATCTTGCGAGTTTGGAAAGACAGCAGGACGTAGTGGTCTCCCTGCGTCGCATCAAATCTGAACGCGTTTCAACAGGCATCCGCTAAAAGGAACGTTCCAGCATGCACTTTCTAGACCACCGAGGCCCGATGTAGTATTACAACGTCGCTCTTCGACGTGCAGTGACCCGAAAGAACAAGCGTTCCACGAGATACGTAATTCACTAGACCTTGTGGTATACATACGCCCTTCCAAAGCCCCTTCCGACATGAGTGCAAGCGCACCTTCAAGACGTGCACACCTAAGCTCATTTGTACCAGGCACGCTCGCATGCCCTGCTAAGCAAGCTGGCCGCCATCAGTCCTGCCCACGCAAGTGACTGTAGTCGACTGCACATTTTGCACTAGTTCTTCCATGCACTCACGGACGACGTGTATGACTTGCTATCTTCCTATGTTGCCACTTCGTTCTTTCTATTTAGCACCACCAGTCTTACGTTGGCCCTGCATCTTACACCTCCCGGTCCCCACTATCTCTGTCCTAAGCGTTATCCTTGTACGGCTGCTGTGTTTGTCTGTTTTGATGAGTATCCATCGTCAGGCAACTGAAACAAAATGCACAGGCACGGTTTTCATCAAAACAGCACCCACTAGAAAGCTCCTTCAAGGTTGACAGGGCATTCTGTTTGTACTACTTTGAAATCGAGACCCCTGGCCGTATTTTGTAACGATTTATTTCCTTTTCAATGCTCATTTTTTTGTTTTCATTTGACGATTTCGACGTCATCCTAGTGAACGACAAAAGAACGAAGCGCATCGTTACAAATTAGTCTCCGCAAACTTCAGACTAACCATTAGAATTAGAATCGTTTCACCCTAGGTACCGAAATCTGGAATGAAATGAAAATATGGAGCAAGCTGCCCCACGGGTATTTCTCTTGCAGACAAACATCTATAAGGGGATGACAAAAATACACATACGCATTACAGCTCTATTATAACTTTTCTCATCGCTGGTGGTGCATTTAGTGACAGACATGTCAGTTTCACGTTTTACTGGGTCAATTTTTTTTTTGCGCGAACATCATTCCAGGTTCACATGCATCGCTTACTATTACGTTGACACTATTTTTGATTTCATCATTGATTTCAGCTACATGTTTTCAACCGAAAAAAACAAGTGAAAAAGAGAGACTTATCCAGAGGTTTGTAGAAGGGAAGGCAAGCAGACCACTACTGCCATTCCTGCACGACACACTTCGCACGTTCACTCAACAGACCAACGCTAAAAAACAGTAGCACACGTGGAGAACATTCATAAACCACCGCTGTACGCAAGGTTACCTCCTACAGTAAAGCCCCTTCTCCACTGAACACAGAAAACGCATGGAGGGGCTTCAGTCCCGTCACCACCACTACCAGGAGAAGACAAAGAAAGAAAACATGCAGCTACGTGGCTCCAGCCAGTCACGCGGTAGCATCCTTACATTGTCCGCGTGCTATCGAATCGCTGTCTGCCATCTGAACGCGTGAATGCAGCTACCACACCGCCGTTGAGCGACTCCCGTACTGCGCCAGTCGGATCCCCCCTGCCCGAACCTTCCCCGTTTCTCCTTTTCTGCACACTCTTCTTCTCGCTGCTCTTTAGCGCCTAGGAGGCTGGCGCCCTCTCTTTAACGACTTCTCTCTCATCCTCCTCCTTCTTTCCTTTATCTTACTCTTCATTTTCCTGTCCGGTCTTTTCCTGCTCCTCTGCTTTTCCCGATTCCCTTCATGCCCCGCAGGCCACGATGCTCAAGAAGAGCAAGAGCAAGATCAGGCGCCGAAACACTGAGCCCACCATGGTTCTGGCAAGCCTGGAAAGCTCGCAGCAACCGCCTCCGACGACCAGTACGAGCCACACCATGGGGCCCTTCTGAAGAGGGTACTCCGTCGGACTCTTTCAGCCAGGACACTTGCAGTGCGTGTGTGCTGACGTTGCGGCAGTGACGGTCCGCGGAGGGGGGGGATACACCGCCCCCTACGTGATCGAAAGCCAGCCTTCGGGGTGCTGGCTTCCCTGATTTTATCCTTACTTAGTTTGCATGCAGCGGGACAGTCAGACGCCCTGTACTGCTCTGCAGATCAACTGCCGCTTATGTGAGGCAAAAGTTCATCGCCGACGGCTGTCTATATAGCAATGTGCCATGTGGAACTGAACAACTGGCGCTACACCAGGGCGCTACACGTGGAAGCGATTTGTTGTTAGTGACGTAGATGACCCTCTGGTCAGGGTTAGTGACTTGTTCTGGGAGGACCCCACTCGCTCTCAGCCGGACGCACCTCAAGACTAAGCGCGCGAACACTTCTCCTTGGAATCGCTTGCGGCACGTAAACGTGGTTTCGTCATCACTTTCGCTCAGCTTGTCACACTATGCAAGTGCTTTAAGATCACGTGCTCACTCTCAGTTAGCAAATGGCAGAACACACGAGGGCGCAGTAAATGAGTCGAAATAATCGAGAGGTATTTTGCGCTTTGGCGACCGTATACGCTTGAAAAAAGTGAGGCACGAAGCTATATGTATAGGCTAGTTCCAATGGTAGCCCGACAAGATAAACAAAAAAAAAACAAGGAAGCTTTTACCAGAATCCAACTGTTCCTGTGTGACCAGCGTCAGCGGTCTGGGATAGGCTTAAAACACCGCCGGTTCTGTTGAAGTTCTCATGCTTCCTGTATTTTCTGGCCCGCAGCCCATCGCAGTTCTTGCGTAGCGTGCTCCGCCCTATAGAGTTCGGCGAATGCATTCTCTCATTTGGTTCTTCGTGTCTCAGAAGTGGATGGCCTGCGTCTTCGCGACTGTGCTCGTATCATCTAATGTTTCCTTTCGTGTGTTCTCGTAGTGCAGTGTGTATCCGTGGCCCCCGGTGACAGCAGATGTCTTTGGCCTTCTGCTGTCGCCTTCTGTTCTTCTCCTTCTCTTTAGCGTGATTCGTACTGTGCCGTTCCTCCACGCCTTGCCTGGCTGAAGTACTGGGTTGCATTGTAGACTCGGGTGCCATATGCGGATGCCACTGTACAGGCAAACGTGTCTTGTGGCGCTTCCTGTCCCAGTTTTCAGCGAACGAAGCTGTTTCTTTCTGCACTGTTGTTCATATAAACTCAAACCATATCCGAGTCATTCCAGCCTTTGGATGCGTACAAATGGAGAAAAAAAAAAGAGATATATACCTATACGCTGTTCTACTTTCGCTTCGATGTGGTTTGTTGGTCCTTCAGTGGCATTCCGTGGGCTCGAGAGTTCGAGCGGGCTCACAAAAAAGTTACAGCACTTGCTTTTGTAGGCTATATACATATATCCATCTCTATATGTAAATACGGTAGCTACTATGACGAGGTTTTATCCTTCAGTTCACAATAACTAAGTGACCGTAGCTTCATTCCTTGAGGTGTAGTTGCGAAGTTTTCTATAGAGCACGTGTTCTTAACACCCCCTTTACGCAGGCTATTTTCAACCTAGGCAAATATAGGGAAACACCCACTTTTAGCAGAACTGTGTATATAATCCGTGTATAACTCGAGAGCTGGTGTTAATTGTTGTGGAAAACGCATAAACAGACACGTCTCTCATTTGAAGCTAGCACCGCATCTGCAAGACAGTATAGGTGAGCAGTTGACGCTTCGATTCCGGTGCATTGTCAGGCGTTTGTACGACTATAGCCTCGTGCTTTCAGCAGTGGAATAGTACGCGACAACGCACCGCTGGCGTAGAAAACACTCCCCCAGAGTTACGTTATAACCGGGTACGACTTTGGAAGGAACATGTCGCACAAACGTTTTTGATATGCAATACAGAAAAGCATTTGTTTGCGGAGAGTTACCGAAAGGAGGTAAAACAAAAGGTGCTTAGGGCAGCCTCGTATGCACCCGTATTACAGAGCCGCCAGCATATTTTGATTAGACGACATGTACTAGACTATTTTCAAGGACGGCGCACACTTGTTTCTCTCCGTGCTTAAAACCTCGATGCAGAAATACTTACATCTCATTCAGCAGAAATCATGTCTCGTGGAGATATTGATTCTTAAGAATTAACTGCTAGATATCTGTAGCTTGTGAATGTAGACACTCAAGGCTGAGATCATGTACAGCCAGTTGCAAAGAGTGTGGTACCGCATTTGTGGCGTTGAAAACAGGAGATGTACGTACGTTGCAACACACACTGAACAATACATGTATAAATCAATATTTTATACGCGTAAAAGCAACATGGTTGTGCGCTATTAAGGTAGACGTGTGCCAGTATCGAAAAGATCTGCCTCAAACACACAAAAAATATTATGAAATTTCCCACCCTGAATGCAGCTGGCGTACCGAACTTATTCCTACAATTTCATCGGTGCAACGTAGGTGGTCGCCTATGTAAGCTAGTGTAAACAAAGAAATGGAAGTGCTTCTTTGAGTTATGGAAATGCCCTTGCACGTGACACTGAGAAGCTCGCTTGATTTTTAGCAGCCATGCAACACACTTTCAACGCACACCTTCTCATGTATTTACCCGTCATAATCAAGGCAGTGCTGCTTTTCAGATAGAATATAGCATCTACCATTCGGCAGCGTTCGGGAACTTCATATTCCATCGCCGTGTTTTCCAGCCGTCAGGCGCCCCACGTATTGCCCAAAGATCTTTGATCCCCAGTCCAGTTCCCACTCAGACAGACCGGGCCGAGTGCCTCTGTTGTACCCAACGTAATTAGCCAGCGCACGCCCCTTTCTTGCTTGGGCACTGTTGTAGAACAAAGCGCCCCACCAGAAGCAAAACTCGCTTGAGTTTTCTAGCAAGATGCGTAGTGAACACGTGCATCTTTAGGCATAGACATACAGATACGACGAAGCGTGCACTGCTTTGTAGGATTGCTAATTAAAAAAAAAAGGTTTAATATGAAGTGAAACACTTTCTTTTCGTGGCACACAGATAGGACTCGCAGCATGTCGGCTGCTAACATAGCATAAAAGTGAAAAAAAAACTGTCCACGAGCTGTACACATGTTGATAGTCATGACAATAATAAACGATTTATGTCAAGGGAATGCAATGTGGTCTATGTTCTTTGCTTGCGATGAATAGCAGTGGTCGTAAAAGGGCAGCCACAGCTAACACACAACGTTTCGAAGAGACCTGCGCTTGTCAGGGCGCAAACAAGTAACGCTATATCGGTCATAAAGCAACATTTGAGTCGCAACTCTCTTCCTATCCTGTCCGTATCTTTGTTCGCCAGCACAATGTTTCACAGCATTCACGAAAACCAACTAGCCCAACCGTCAACGTTTGGTGGAAGAAACATACTAGGGGAAATCGTCGCTTGAGAACTTCAAGCCTAGTCGTAAAATATTTAGAGAAATTCACCTTTGTCTCGTTACAGGCAATACCGATGGAGGCGGAAATGTTGTAGGCCCGTGTGCTCAGATTTGGGTGCACGTTAAAGAACACCAGGTGGTCGAAATTTCCGGAGCCCTCCACTACGGCGTCTCTCATAATCATATGATGGTTTTGGGACGTTAAACCCCACATATCAATCAATCAATCGTTATAGGAAAGCGCCATTATTGGTCGGCTAGCCATGGTTGCGTCTGGTGCGGGACCCAGGAGGTACCGCACACTGCATTTCGGGGAGGTGCGGCGTCAAAGAAACTTGACTTGCCTAGGTTAACGAACCCATGTGTCGCTGCCTTTTAGCTTTTAGATGCGAAGCAACTCTTTGACTAGCCTGTGTAACGCTGTCCCTCCGTCCGCACCACTCCCCTCGCCGCAGGCGTTGGAGCGTTGCCAAGTAGCTCGCGCCCTCCTAACAGTGCGCGGTGACGCCTCTCTCCCTCGCCTGCCGCGCGCTCGCCGCGTGCCAGCTCTCTCTCGCTTCACCCTCTCCACCACTCGCAACGCTCGAGCCCATTCCTCACGTGGGCATTAGTGTGTAGTGTGTAATTAGCGCTGTAGTGTGTCATATATGCTACATTTAGGTAGCATATACAGTAACTTTAGTGGGCATCATCTCACCCGCACCACCTCTCTCGATTTGTCGGCGAGAAGAAGCCGCGAGCTGTTGGCGCCGCGAGATTCTCGCGGTGCCGACAAAGTGGACAGCGCGCCACCTCTTGCCGCGTGGTAGCGTCGATGGGCGGGACGCCGTCGCGGCATGCTTTCCGCTAGTGTGTGCGTACCTTTCCAAGCTGTCGCCGGCGTTGCTAGGGTTAGCGAAGCCGATCGAGTTCGCGAGTGGCGACGTCAACACCGACAAGGCGCGAGTGAGGGAAGCCAAACGCAAGCGTCGGCAGTGGAAGACCAGTGACACCGACGAGGTGTGAGTCAAGAACACCGATCGCGTTCGAGAATACAGACGACGCGCGGGTAACACCGACAACACTGGAGCCAAGAAAGCCGTGCGCAAGCGTCTTCAACACGTCCCGGCTTCCGTGTGTTTGCGTTTCAAACAAACGTTCATTCGAGTAAGCGCTACACCGAGTTTCGCTTCAAACCGTTCTTCCAGCAACGCCCGGTTTTAACCGTGTCAACGCCGTGTGCACCGCGGCTGCTTCGCATCCCATCAGGGTTTCCTTCGGGCAGATCGACCATGGTTTTTTTTTTCTTCCCCTTGGTCCATGGTATAAATACAATATAAACATCATACAAACCACCGTTCGAGCACAGTTGAACAATTAAAGTCTTCGTCTTCTTGGATATTCTGTATGTTATCTTTTCCTAATAGTAACACGTGGGAGGTACGCAAGACATCACCCTGGACACAAGACTTTATGTATGGATAGACCGGTAAGTTTTATGATCCGATCGAGTGATACGTACTGCGGTGTGCCTGCCTGAAAGCCTGACCTTCGGAAGGACAGGCTGTCCGTGTTGTTGGCCTTGCTTTATCACTACGTGTTGATTAAAGGAAAATTAGACACGAACGTACAATAAGGCCATACCTTGCTGGTGCGTTTCTAGTCACATAGATATTTTTAGAAAAGTCACTCTAAATTTACACGCAGGAAGACAATCTAACCACAGATCGAGAAGATTCCACCAAGAAGAGCGGAGACAGCAAAATTACACTTGTTCGTTTTCTATCGGTATAATATCGGTGGCAGTGCCAGTTCTGTCGCTAACATTTAGCGCAGTGGTGAGTTATTAGTTCGTCTAATTAAGTGTAGGAATGAGGAAGTAAAGAGCACTTCTCACGAGCTCCTGCACTTGGTGCAGAACGTTTGAGTGATCACCAATATAGGCTACCTTTGCACCGTTTTTGTGCGCATCGACAACAGCCAAATATCTGTGGACACTATTCTTTCAAGTGCCCGAGAGAAGACATTGCAACAGAAAGCGACAAAAGCACTGTTGAAATTCCTACGCGACACGGACTTGAACAAGCGGCTGTAACAGCAATGTCACACACCACGAAAAACAAGACTGGACTATGACAGAGTGTGCGCGCGTGTGTGGCTTACTGTGCCGTTTTTATCTCTCTTCCCTCTCTCCTCTCTATCTTTCATCTATCCCATCCTCCTCCCATGCGCAGGGTAGCAAACCGGCTGCCTATAGACGGCTTCGATGTTTGTAAACAAAACTGGCTCGCGCCGAACGGCCTACCCCGGTAGACTTCCAGTGCGGCATTTCCGGCAATTCTTTTTCAATGGTTCCGGCGGTGTGTTCGTGGTGTGTTTGGGATCGCTGCTCTATTATTTATGACGCATTCTTTAGGATGTGTTTGGAGCAACATCAAACGGCTACAGGAAGGGGCTCGACGTAGCACACGGCATAACACAGGCGCGGCCACTGCTGCAGGTAACGCGGCTCGCGTGGCCGACGGGCGCCGCGCAAAATATCCTTTGTGGCCTTCCGATGAGTGCGGCTCCGTTTCACCTCTGATAGTGGTCGTGCCTGTACAAACAGAAAGATACATAAATTCCAGGACACGTTTGTCAGCGAACTTAATTGGGCCAGTTGGTTGTGCATGTGGACGATGTGGATGCGCTTTCGAGACGCGGACCGAGAATGGACAGCGCACACCTGTCTCTTCCCTGTCCACATTTCAAAGCGCACCCACATCATCGATGTGCAGGCGAAAAGTGAAGTTGTTCAACTCAGATTTTCGACTAGAACTGAAAACCTTCCTCCTGTTGAACGCCGAACACATTTGTATTTTCTTCTAAGCACACAACTTTAGGATATAAAACGATTATTTCTGCGCCTGTGTCACACCGGGCACTTATTAAAGAGGTCAGCGGCGATCGAAATCGCTCGCGATGCGAAGTGTTCGTGTGAGTGAGAAATTATAAAATTTACTGATGTGATGACTGCAGCTGCAGGGTCACGTGAAATTTTATGTTTTACTCACGTGTAAGCTACTCCTGACCCACACTTTCAAGTTGAACATACCTAAACCGGCAGTTCATGTTCACACGCAAAAGATAAATGAGCTTGAATGAGGCGATGCTCATTAGCGGCAGGAAAACAGACGATGAGTCATTTGCTCGCACATATGAGAGCCCACTCGCCGACGTCACTTAAAAAAAAAATGAAATGCAACGACAACAAAACGTGGACACCTTGACGTACATTGTGCGGCGATTAATATTAAGCGCGTCTACTTTGTGCCCCATGTTTTTTTGAACAGTACTCATCATTTATATAGCTCAAGCTATAAAATAAACACCTTTGCGATGGATTTTCAGTGTTAGCTTCTACGTTTTTCTACCCATTTCCCGCGTCAGTACACTTATCTGCCACGGGAGGAAGACGACAGTGACTGATGTGTTCCCGGTAACGGGGGCCTTCGACTAGTCTAACGTTTTAGTATCGCTTCTGTGCCATTAGTCTGCGCTGAGCTTTACATTGCTATCAAATAGGCAGAACTAACCTACGCGCTCTTGGTGGGAATCCAGTTCTCTCACGTAATCGCTGCAATGTAGGCACTCTTTATATCGTCATCGGTCAGAAGACATAGCGTTTCGACAAGCATATAAAATTAATTCAGGCATGTAGACCGCATCCTGGCTTGACACTGCTGTGCTCGAGTTGCCAGCGCTTCATCAAAATAATTTTATCTGCATAAAACACCGGAACACAAGCAGCCGCGGCCAGCAACAAACGCTAAAACCACGCAAAAACAAGCTAAACCAGAAGTTTTCAGGGGTGGTTTCCCGGTGAACGCACAGCGTTGCCAGAGACTGGCAGGCTCTGGCGAAACCGTCTATAGGCCGGTTAACCTCGCTGCCGTTTTTTTTTTTCCTCCAGTTGTCCTTCCTTCCTGCCCCGCCGTGGTGGTCTAGTAGCTAAGGTACTCGGCCACTGACCCGTAGGTCGCGGGGTCGAATCCCGGCTGTGGCGGCTGCATCTTCGATGGAGGCGAAAATGCTGTGAGCCTGTGCGCTCAGATTTGGGTGCACGTTAAGGAGCCCCAGGTGGTCAAAATTGCCGGAACCATTCACTACGGCGTCTCTTATAATCATATGGTGGTTTTGGGACGTTAAGCCCCAAATATTAATAATTAGCTTTGCACCCTCATAAGGATCGAGCAAATGTTGCAAAATTTATTGGTTGAAAGACAAACAATTTGTGGGTTTCCGCCTGTCCACCACGAATGATATTCTTGTCTGCTTACTAGCATCTGGCCGAGAAAACGGAAGGCGTATGGATGACTATCCTTCTATATACGTTTGAGGTCAGGGCTGAAGAAACCCCGAGGCGGAGCTCTTCCTTCAGTCGTTCTATCTGAATAGGTAACGAACAGGGGTGTGCGACTATTCGAAAATGTAGAATAACGTGTGGAATGGTGTTCTGTTTGATTGGATATTTCAATCGAATGGAGTGTGTTATAAATACCAATATTTTTTTTCTAATGTTCCAATAGTGAGCACCGACGAGAAAACCACGATGTTGCGAAATGTTGGAACAGCGAGGGGTCACTTTTACCAGATTAAGGTGGCCAGTCAGGCTTGCTGGTACGTAGATATGGCAGGCTACATCGCAAAAGAAAAATACCCAGTCCATGTACTAAAGGAACATCAACGACGAGATGATGGTGACAACACTTGTTGTTTGGGTTTTTTCCGTCCATTGTGAACTTTTTGCGCTGTAGTGTGTCATTTTTACCAGTTTTGACAATCGAATCACCAAGATGCATGTGGCCCCTGCTCATAAGGGACTATATTGATCAATGAATCGTTCTCACCTAAAACTCGCGTCGCTGAAGCGAGCGTCTCGTCATACCACCGTCGTGAGATTGGTCATGGGACGGTGGGCAGTACGACTTCATTCAAACACATACGTGCAATTTTTGTACGCTTTTACACGATTCAACAACAGACGCAAGTGTCGTGCCGATTGGTGTCAGTTTTCTTGCAGATGCAGTATTCAACAAGGATTCGCATTTACCTGCCTGCCGGACCATGATGCGAAAACTTTGCTTCATTAAACGTTCAGCTGCATGTGCGGTTTTGGGTACAACACTGAGTACAATTCTCATGCCTCAGTTTCATTTAAAGACTGGTGAAAAAGTGCCACCTTCAATACCTCAGTCACGGCTGTATTCGCGCGTATGTTTACAAAACATTTCTAATTATCTAGTCACTCATGCATATCTGCTTATACCTCGGTTCACATGTACATAGCAGTAATAGTTTTTGTCGGTTAGAGGTCACCGTAATGTTTCTTCTGTAAAGTTTGTTAGCGTGTTTTGAAATTCTAGAGATGTTCTGAAAACGATGGTAATATTATCCAAAATATATTCGAATGGTATGCGATTCGTATCTGTATTTGATTAGGTGTCACTGCTATTTAATTCGTACTCGATTCGGTTCTAAAATTCGCTGTTCACACACGCTTAGCATGTATGGTACATTCATTGCAACCCCGTGGCTACACCGAGTCGCTGCTGAGGTCGTGCGATCGATTGAGGTCGCTATATGCTAGCTATGATGACAGAGTGTAAAAACGTCGACGCATTTAATTTTGGCGAAGGAGTACGGAAACAAATAACTTTAACATCTTGTATTTTGTTTTTGGCTTTCTGTTCCAATTCGCAGCTGTTGGCTTCCTTATCAATGCAGGAAGCCTTATGGAGCACGGGACAGCTACTTATTTGGAGACGTTTACATGGCGTCCGGTCAAAATTTCGGCCTGAGAGAACATTTAGAAAGGCTACACTATAGAGTTATCGTATATGCTACCTTTGGGTCCCGAAGGGAGCATATAAACTCTAGGCGTGGCCATGGGCGCGGCAGAGGCTTCCAAAAAAGGCCCCAAAAGGGCAGGGGAGTTTGTTCATTATACTTCTTAATAATGTTGTTTGTTATACCCGATATTCGTTTTAACGGAGAAAAAAATTAGATAGGCAATCCGGCTTGCGCAAAATTGACGTTCTCGACGCTGATCTAATCTTCCTTGCGCAGCTGTAACCGAAATGTTTCAATTACATGTGCATATGTATGACACAGGCTATACACTTTACGTTTTCGCGAAGTTTTTTTTTACCTTTCCATTTTCCATTTTTACTTTTACATTTCTTAAATTTTTTTACTTTTACTCATTATCTTAGGTCGTGTCCCTGTGTTACATCCACACATGCAAACGCGCGCACGAACAAACATGGCTAAACACCTCCCTTTCCCCCCACCGACCCCCTATTCAGAAAATTTCTGATTACGCAGCTGGCAACAACGTTCCTCCTGCGGCCACTGTGTACAGCTCTGAATATCTCTCGACACAAACATAAGTTCGTCTACGGTGCCGTTTTGCATGCGGTCAGACAACAAACAGGTAACCGAAATCGACGTGTTGCTGCGCTTGCCTTTCTGCAACTTTGGGACGTTAAACCTGACATATCAATCAATGCCTTTCTGCAAAGCTGGACAAGTGGCGCCACTATTCGTCGCATCATGAACTTCCAAAACCTAGCCGTCCGGTTTCGACGGAACGCGGCGCAACAATGCATTTTTTTTTATCGCTGGCTGATGAAAATTTTTGACATCTTAGCGATTAAGAAAAGTGCTATTATAAATGCAAAAGTGCTATATATATATATATATATATATATATATATATATATATATATATATATATATATATATATATATATATATGTATCTTTCAAGGCGAGAGGGACGCGGCAGCAACGAAGTTTGGAAGTTCATGTCAGTATAACTCATCCCCTGATGAAGGGAGGACCCCTCCCGAAACTGTTGGGAAATGAATATATTTATCCTTGTTGGCAACGCTCCCGTTGTGCCATATCCCATACCTTCACGAAGACTAACTGGCCCATTGAATTATTACTCCCACTATATATATATATACATATATATATATATATATATATATATATATATATATATATATATATATATATATATATATATATATAAGGGAAAGAAGTGTATACCTAAGGGCTCGTTTTTCCGTGTTTAACACAATATTAATGAGATCTAACAGACAGTAATGCCAAGGAATGTACAGGAGAAGTTATTAGAACCAATGGAATGTAAATAAGAAGAAAGAAAAGTGGATGAAAAAATAACCAGCCATGAGCAGGATATATATATATATATATATATATATATATATATATATAATGAGTAAAAGAACAGTAAACCCTCATTAACTAGACTGCTTAATTCGAATGATTTTCGCTGTCCCTAATTTCGCTGCGACGTACGTTTTAGAGATTAACTTGCAGGGGTGGCCAGCATTAGTAGGGTGGCTGGCCACCCTAGCATTAGTCCATTTATTTCCCAAACTTTGGTGCCATGTGTCGATTTTGCCACAAATACTCGGAAACGGTGGACCTTAGAAGCCACAAGGCAATGCAGTGTGGCGACACTAATTAGTGACAGGGTAAGCACCCCACCGTCGCTAATGCAAAAAAAAAAAAGAGAAAAAGATTGACTAAAACGTGTGTTTCTGCGTTAAAGACGCGCTTCACTGCGACGCAGTGGTGACACACGGGCAGCACATTGCACGCTTCTCGCAACGTCAGCGCATCGTGATTTGCCCATTTTTTATGGGAACATAAATACATTAAGGTCAGCCTTACGGAATCAGAAATGCATTCGAACTTCTGATTGGCGGTTGCTTCAGCATTTTGCGCATTTGCACTGCTGGTGAACTTGCTAGCAGCGCCTACTTCAAAAACGTTAATGATCATGTTTTCCACCCAAAAGACGTCGCGGATTTCCTCACACTGGCCATCATTCAATTATTTATTTTAACAGAAATAACTGACGAATGATCACATTACGACGCGCTAACGCTTTGAGGAGCAGGTGGCATGCTGCCCGCGTATCACTATTGTGTTGCAGTGAAGCACATCTTACCCGCAGACGCTCATTTTTGACGCGTATTTATTATTATTATTTTTTTGCGCCTGCCCTGCATTTGCGGCAAAATTAGGACCAGGTATTGCTGGAACACACAATCCTTGTAGCCGTAAACTGGTTGGTACCACAAGTTACCACCTCTGGTTACTTTCAATTATTCAATGTTCCCCGCATCCCAATTAAACGTTTTGTCAATTCGAAAACACGCTTAATTCGAAGATTTTTCACAGTCCCGGTGACTTTGAAATACCGGGGCTGTACTTCGTTTTCTTGTGGAAAAATCAACCGAGAGACGTCAGAAGCGTTTTTTTTTACAGTTGCATTCATGTTACCAAGACTGAGTCTAAATAGGCATTGAATACTCCTATATACTACCCGAATGAACTTTCTGACACATTATCTTGAAGTACCTACCCACGTGCTAGAAGGAATGTTCTGGAAAGCAAGATTTTCAGTATTGCTGAAGGCTAGAAAATGAGCTTTGCGAGACCTTTCGATTGAATAAACTTTCAACAGCCAAGCGACCTCATCAAATTCAAGCTAAACTGCTTTTTTTTTTTGGTAGGCAGAAATAAAGTGACCTGATACTCTTGCTAGCTGTACGTGCGATATTTGATGTAATAAAAGTGTACGCACTGGTTACCACCTGCTGCATTTTTTGTGTTATGTATTAGAACCATACGAGTGATTTCACAAGTGAAAGCTATAGTTGATGCAACACATCATTTTTTTGATTGATATGTGGGGTTTAACGTCCCAAAACCACTATATGATTATGAGAGACGCCGTAGTGGAGGGCTCCGGAAATTTAGACCACCTGGGGTTCTTTAACGTGCACCCAAATCTGAGCACACGGGCCTACAACATTTCCGCCTCCATCGGAAATGCAGCCGCCGCAGCCGGGATTCGAACCCGCGCTCTGCGGGTCAGCAGCCGAGTACCTTAGCCACTAGACCACCGCGGCGGGGCAACACATCATTTCCTGCAAATCAAAAATGGGAAGCGTCGGTTTTCAAGTGTTTGTGACATAAGGAAGCTATTCCGGATGAAAACTTATGCAATTCATGTATTAATAACTTGAGGATATGCTTCATCAAAGCTGCATAAAATTTTCTGATGGTTTTCAAACTGGCTGTTGCTTTATGCAGATGCAACAGTCAGTAGCGTGTTGCTAATATATCTTGTTCCAGCTATGGGCTCTTAGCTCAAGCAACAGCACTTTCATGCGACAAGTGACGAATTACGACTTTTCAGAAATGAGTGATTGAGCAACTAGAATCTGAAAAATTTGGGCATACGATGGCTTGTGTTGTTGCTTGTCGCTTTTCTGTGTATTATTTCTCATGTGGGCTTTGAACTTTGTGTTACTAGTGAAAACAAGACAAAAGCTTAAAATTATAACAGCCAGCACACTATACAGATGAGACTGACTGTGACTGACCTTACATTACTCGAATATTCAAGGTTTTGAAATCTGGGCAACTTCACAGCTGTGGTAAGAGAGTATCAAAGCAAGTGGTACTTGCAAACGATATGCGAAAGTTAAGGACAAGAAACAACCAGTGCTAGAGGTCCATCTTTCAGGTGCATTTTATTTGAGTGCAATGCATGATTTGCTGCAACTTTAAGTGACAGTGCGAGAGCTGCATAAAGAACATTAAAATGATGCTACACAGAACATCATAACAAAGCAGTTATCAATAACAAGTGTAAATAGTATTGCTCTGTACATTAAAAAGAAAAAACGGGTTTGTACACATCAAGACGAAGCACAGCATAATGTAGTATACACGGAGGACGAATGAGAAATTTACCACTAACACTTGTCAACAGAGTAGCATTGTAACTGAATTTAATATCTGTAATAGCATTAAGTGTAGATTTTCAAGGTATTCCCAGTGCACAAAATATGGACATCAGAAAATTCAGGGTGTATAAATTTTTGTAAAATATTGTGATGCTTCAGCTAACATTTTCATGGAAACGCTAATACAAAAGCATACAAAAAAGAAATTAGCATTGATTGGAGCTGCCTCCATTGAACTGCAGTGACTAAAGCTAATGGCTGGAAAATTGCGACAGTGTGATTGGAAAGACTAAACAAGAGCTGAGAGACGGCTACTTATGATTTATCTTTGAGCGCTCCTGAAAGACATGGGCCTTAGAGTGTTCATCTCTTTTCAGCATTCCTTTCACACTCGATTCGCAGAATGTACCTTGTTACTGCAAACCTCAAAAAGGAGTGGTTCATTACAGTGTTTCTTGTGTGCAGCACTACACTGGCAATATGTGAAGTCAGAAAGCCAGGTTTTGTTTTTCTGAGAACACGAGCAGCTGCGAAAAAAAAAAGCAAATAGGAAAGATAGGCAAGTACATTTGCAGAAGTGACCTAGCATATATGACCTTATCTTTCTGTACTTCACACATGTATAAGTAAAAAAAAAACAGAGTCAACATTATCAGGTAATCTTTAACTGGCAGTACTTGATGGACGCTTGCTTTACTGACAAGCACACAAAAGTATATTATTCAAGAAAGCATTTCTTCATGACAATTTTTAGCAAATAAACAATGTGTTTTTCTTTGGTATTAATGTGGATGATACCAGGCAAGTTTTTCACAATGTAGCGTTAAGTACAATTGTTGTGTAAAAGTGGGAAACAATTAGATTTAAGAAAACTAGTTAATTATGGCCGCATTAGTACATTTTGCACAGCAACAGGAAGGAAATCTCGATGAAATGCTAGAACAGAATTGGTATTGTGAAGACGATCGTAGCAAAGATTGCATTTTTACAAAAGAATAAAAACACGTGTTTCACGAGATGGTTTTATTAATAAAATAATGCAAAGCCAAGCATCCTCTCAATCAAGGTTCATAATGCATTGAGACACCGAACAAGCATCACCAAATATTTACATTAAACCTTCCAAAATCAGCACTGCCTCTTAAGGATGCCTGGTGCATGAATGAGCACGTGTACTTTTATGCTTGGCCTGGATACGCAAAGAAGCCACAGTACAGAAAAACCATATAACCCATAATGATTCGCCCAAAGACACGATTGCGATGAAAATATGTTACGTGTATCACTATCGTAGGTAGAACTACCACAGCACAACTTCCTTTTACAATAAACGTGCATGTGTGGAAATGTACTAACAACATAAGCTACTTCACGACTTAAGCCTGACTAATGACCAAGCTCCTTCACTTATCTTAAACAACCCAGCGAACAATCTCCCCGTGGATGCATGGTCAAAATAGAGCACCAAGTTTCAAAAAGGTGTTGTAGTTTACAAAAAGCTCACCAACTGCCGTGACTGCTGTGAACATAGTGCATATATTGCGTCCTTAGAAACTCGTACGTTGCATTGATGATGCCCCACGACACTAGTGCCCGAGTGTAGTTAAGGTGCACGCCGTAGAACATTTTGCGCAAGCTCTTCCGCTCTGCGTAGGTCTCCTTGAATACTGTTAACATGCTAGGGCGCGGAGGGCCATACTGCACTTGGATTATCGTCTTAAGAACGTTGATGGGATAGAACACTGTGCTTACAAATGCGCCTACCATTGCGCCGCTGAGAAAGTCGCTCAGTGTCCGCTGCCAGAGAACCGTCTTGTCCATCGGCACAAGGCGTCCCATTTCGTCTCTTAGGCTAAAGAACATAAACGTGCTTGGGCCGTTCCGGAGAAGAATTGGTGTCAATCCCCGATAGTACTCCCGGATGCCATACGGGGACAGGAACTTGAAGGCGTCTATCGTGTTCTTGAAGCGGTGATGGTGTTCCTTGTCCTGCAGCAAGGCTTGAACCCTTTCCAAAGGAGTGAGTATGGCCTCTGTGGAGCCAGCCATGAGGCCAGCGAGGAACTTCACGGTGAGATCGCTCGCCTCGGGGAAGTGGTGAATTGTGAAGCGACTATAACCACTGAACGTGCCGAACATAATGGAAACCGATATGGTCTTCTGGACAAGCGGCGGCAGGCAACCGCGGTAGAGGTGGCGAAAGCCTTCACTACGCAGCTGGTCGAAGGCGTGGTTGGTTCGCACGCCGTGCAGCATCTGCCTGAACATCACCTTGTTCATGGGAAAAGTGCAGATTATGTTTACAAAGGCGGCACCCCAACCGCAGACGAAAGCGCACATGTCATCGTCGGTCGTGGTGATGTGGTGGGCGGTGTGCCCGCGATTCTGCAGCGTGACGGATCCCATTCTGACGTTGACGTCACACAAACGGCGAGGATGAATGGGTAGGCTATTTTCACATTGCAGCAGCTGCAGACGCTCAACCTGTAAGAGGATGACATTGCGTCACAGACACGCTCACTTTCTCCTAAGAAATTTATCAAGAAACCGACAAGCAAAGAAGTGCCCCGACGTATACAAGTACCCAACACAATCTCTGTACTTGGGTCGTGGTAAAGCGAACATTAAAGCTCAACTGACAACGTTGACCTCTCGAATCAAGGTTAGCGTATAGAAGTGCTGCTCACGTCTTACAAACGCTTTTATTTGAGAACAATATACTTTAAGGTCGGGAACGCGACCTGTAGTCGTTCGGCCTTAATGCAACGAGACCGAAATCAGTTAATTCTCTCACCACACGCGACACAGCGGTCCCGAAAACTTGTAAAACCACGACCTGTAAAAACGAACCGGCTTCGGTTTGTCAGCGTTGTTTTTTCCCGCGTAAACATTGGGCCGCAAGGACTTACGTACTGTGATATTTAGGCAGTTCCTTTAAACTTCCTTTCGAAAATATTACGAACGACAAAACCATTAATATGACAAGAATCGCTGCAACGTTCGGGACTTTCCTACTCGGAGGAAATTCCTACGTCGAAGAGCTTGACGCCACAAGGTTAAAAACACGAAAGCAGGCAAAGAGAGGATAATAACAATAACAACAAAAACACTAAAATCACCGGGGCAGACAGTACTTTCGATTTCTATCTGGCATGCATGCTATTGATCAGTCGCATACTTACGGCACCACTGGATGAAGCAGCAGAAAGTGTCAGGGCGTGCGGAAACTAGTTGCTTCCTTCAGATGTCTTCTAAGTAGAGGGAGCATTTGCTATTAAACTATTCATCACCTGATTTCAATCGCCTCTCTGCTGATAAAAAAATAAAGACAGCTGTAAAACGCCACTGTTGCCACCAGGGCAGTTCTCGGCTGGAAACACGGCGCCACACGCACATGAAACAAGGAAAAGGAACAATTTCGCAGTCCGAGCACGCATAACAATAACAAAAATAGCGTTACGCAGCCTAAGCGCATATGCTTGGGAAATGCACTAAACTTTATTTCGTATTTAGTAAAGAGTCGTGCAGAACCCACTTGACATTCAGTGACCTTCGACAATGCGATCGCTTTGATCCGGAGAGCTTAGCAGATTATCTGCGCTAACTTTCGCAACATTGTGCGTTTTATCCAGCACCACATGCGAAGTTGAGCCAAACCAATCCAGTGATGATGACACCGTTTGGAGCGGTTTTGACACCGTGGGTTTTGATGTAGTTTGGAGTATGTGCCAGGAGATTCGTTGATAGTAGTGCGGTTTGACCCTGTTGAGTGGCTCAATAGCACATATTTGCATTTACTAAAGATGGTCCAGCTTAGTATTTTCAAAGCGATCGCAGCGTAGTTTCTTCATCGTGACAAAAAAGCAGCTTATAGCGATGTTCAGAAATGGCCGATCAGTTCCGCAGTTCGCTGTTGCTTCGCGCTTCGACGGCTGCACGCTTGTTGCGCCTCACCAACAAACTCGTGCTTGGCGAAGAAGTGCCGTGGCTTCAAGACTGAACGGGCAAAACAGGCATGGAAAGTGGGTAGATGCTTCCTTATGGCTACCTTTCTCAAAGGTAAGTGATTTGTATGTAAGCAAACATGTTGACGTTTGTGGCTTGAGACTAATTTGGTTAAACAACTCTTAAGCATTTCTTCTTATTGAGTTATTTAGAAAGCCTGTTCCTCGCTTGTTTCGTTGGTTGCTTGTACGTTAACTGCATTACTTGATTATAGCACATCGGAAACTCGAATATTTCACTTTGAGTACGCTACTGGAGACGAAGTGCCTATTGGTGTGAGCAAGCGACATTTTTCGTTTTTAGCATAACTGGGTGTGTGACGCACATTGCAAACTTGTTGCGATCACATGGCAAACTCAAGTAGGTTAAGAAGGCGTAAAAACGATTTGAGTTTCGTACTAGCTTGACAACAGACACTGTGCAACCCACAGCGAAATGATATTTTAATCGGAGTTCTAGGTGCTTGCGGCTGCTCACAAATTCTGCATGCGAACAGTACTTAGCAGCATACTTTGATCTGGGTGGAGCGTCGTGCGCACAATTACTGACCTTTTCCCATTCTGAAAAGACGGTGAAAATTATAAGTATATAAAAGTACCTGCAGTCTCGACTATTTAGTGCTGTGTAGTGCTGTCAAAATCCTGCATTTTTCGCAATACATTGTGTTATCATGATTAAGCATTAAATGTCTGAAAATTGGTTTTTGCGTACTCTTTCAGGGTCTGCCGATGACCTTTGGATCTGCTAGTGTGCCTCCTGGATGATCACGGGAGAATTAGTGTTTCCTTGAGACTGATTTGGTGAGACACCCTTTAGCATTTCTTCTTATTGAGTTATTTTGAAAGCATGTTCCTTGTCTCGCTGGTTACTTGTTGGCTAACTTCATTGCTTAACTATTACAATATGCATATTATCAGTGTACAATGTTGGTCAAGTTAGTACACTGTCGTCCTTTATGAAAGGGTACACATGAGCAAGTGTCTTGCACTCCAGAGTGGTGGCCTACAGTGTGATCAACCAACATTTAAAAAAAGCATGGCTAATTATGTATCGCCTATTTTCAAACAAAATAATAAGTCATGGACACTGGCAAGCACTGCTAAATTACGATTTCGCTCTATTCTCGCAACAGAAAATGTCGCGCCCAAAAGTGGGCATTCTTCAGCCATCAGTTGATGGTGTTGTAGGAAAGGAGAGATTTTGGAGGTCAGATCATGACTTCACCATGTAGTCGGCGTCCCTCATCCGGGACACTGAATAAGGAGGCCCCATCTCACTCTCATCTCACCAGAGTCTGTTGAGACTCCAGCGAGGGGCAGTTGAGAAAGGTAGTTTTTGTACAAGGCTACACTGTGTGGAAGATATGGCAGATCTCCCCACAGTGTGGGCACCATTCATCTGTGTTCAGGTGGAAATGTTGCATAATTGCAGGACAGAGCAATATACTTGTCTGCAGGCACCTTAAAGTTCACTCCTCCACCTTACTCAGCCCCTTTGTAGAAGCCAGGAAAAAGTGGCGAGTGTTGTGATAACATGAGGTAGTCTCACTGAACTGCAGCAGCAATTTATTGGCCTCCGAGTCACAAGAGCTTGAGCGAGGAGTCCGGGGGTCAAGTGCTCGGGTAGCCAGGTCAGCGGCTTCATTACCTCGTAAGCCCTCATGGCCAGGAGCCCAAATTACACATTTCAGGCTTGGATCAGCAGCAGCCTGCCTTAGAATTTGGCTGGCCAAGGGTCTTTACACGCGCACAGCCGCAACGCACGTGCAGGGACCCCTGCCGCGAGCAAGCGGGTGATAAATAAGCTAAGCCAATTGGCCACACTCTTTCACCCTCTGGTTGGGTGCGGCAAGTGTGCCGGCATGTGCATTGTCGCTGTGAGGCGAGTGCGTGGAACGGCCCTAAGGGGGATATCTCTGCTGCCAAGTTGTCCACCTCGGTGGAACGGTGACTACGGTACTTGGCTGCTGACCTGAAGGTCGTGGGTTCAATCCCGGCCGTGGCAGTTGCATTTTTATGAAGGAGCAAAGGTACAGGTTTGTGTAATGTGTGATGTTAAAGAACACTAGATGTTCAAAATTTCTGGAGCCCTCCACTACGGCGTCTCTCATAATCATATTGTGGTTTTGGGATGTGAAACCCCAAATATTGTTATCATTTATGATCCCCTGCCAAGTAATAAGCACACGCTCTGTGGGAGTCTGTGATTATGATTTTTGAATTGGGATCCGTGACAGCAAGTGCTATCGCTACGTCCTCAGCTCACTCTCAATTTCGCGCTCCGAAGGAAAGCTCATTGACATGTTTTGCTTGCTGAACTACAGCAGCTGTGTTAAGTCCCATGGGCAACAGCCCTGCTATGGCACCCACAGCATATAGCGCTAGAGTTCTGGAATACGCTCTGCTTCCTCTTGAGTGTAAATGTGTTGGATATGTAAGCGGTTGAACAGGCGGTGCCCGGTGATTGTCTTCATGTGCCGCTTATATTTATTCATTAGGTGGGCCTCCCACAACTGGTAGGAGTTCAGCATTCCCAAGATCGTGAGTTTCAAGTTGGAAGTGGCCACTGGGAAATGCAGTGCTTGTTTAGTTGCCTCAAAAATGATAGTGGCTATTATTTAATTTTTTTTGCCTGTTAGTGCGAGGGTATGGAATGCTGTAAAGAGTCTGGTTAGTCACGAAGGCACCGGTGAGCCAAAGCATGCCCCTGCCCTGCAGACTGCCTTGCTTATTGAATATGCAATGAATCATGCACCCTACCTGTTCGCCTAATTTCTTGAGTTTTGCTGTAGTAGAGTCTGGTCTGGCTCTGTGGTTAGTGAACAGGCCCGGAATCCGGAGCTCCTCCACCTCTCTGATGGGATCCCCAGAAAGAAAGATGTGCATTGCTGACTAACCCTTCGGCTTCGCTCAAACATGCAAAAGCTCTGGCTCCGCCGCAGTGGTCTAGTGGCTAAGGTACTTGGCTGCTGACCCGCAGGTCGCGGGATCGAATTCCAACTGCGGCAGCTGCATTTTCGAGCGAAAATGCTGTAGGCCTGTGTGCTCAAATTTGGGTGCACATTAAAAGAACCCCAGGTGGTCAAAATTTCCGGAGCCCTTCACTACGGCTTCTCTTATAATCATATGGTAGTTCTGCTACGTTAAACCCCACATATTAATTAGAAGCTATGATTTGGTCTGAGCAGAGTAGAGTCCACAATCATCGGCATATGCTTCGATTATAGTTGTGGCCTGCTGAAGGCATTCCTGTATTTCCCCAACACTTCCACCAGTGGCCCAGATTTTGTCGTCATCTGCATATACTGCGTGCTGAGTGCCTTCCACCCGAGCCAATTGGCTTGGGCAGCTGCCATAGAGTGCTTGCTAAAAATTCGTGTGTTTCCTTTCATAAAGGGCGACAGTGTACATGTATAGAATGCGGAGTCGAGCAGAGGTTTTGGTAGAGACGGGGCTGTATACGGGACAGGGGCTCGCTTCCCATTGAGCATAGGTTTGCAGACTCGCTCGTAAGTCATCTCACTAAGGCTCACTCGAACCAGCCTGTGAGGGGAGTCAGAGTGAATCACACAGAGTAGAATTTTGGGAAGTCTGGGCTTGAATGTGTCCATATGAGTATAAATTTTGGAAATATGAATGGGAGGGATACATAAGCAAACAGATTTTCTGAGTGAGTTTGAATGAGGGCTGTCGCTCTTGCCGACCTGCGAAAAAAAGAGTGCTTAAATGGCGGCAATGGCGCAGTGTAATGCGGCTGTGCATTTCTGCTCAGTGCATGAGTTATAAAGAATGTTTGAGGGTGGCCTTTATTTGTCTATTTGTGGTGGCACATACAACCAGGCACCTCCTCCATCAGCCCCAACTTTGTCTACTGGAGCAAGCTGCATCGTTCATTACAGGTTTCCTTATTACAGCAGCAGCCGCTACAGATTTAGATGCTGCCAACACTACACTGTCATGGTGCCACACATCAAATTTCCTCTCTGCTTATCTTGGTACTCTGAAGGCAGGATGGCGTAATGCCCTCCTGGCCCTTAGGGCATCCAAATATATAAATCACTAAATAAATAAATGTATAAATAAAGATAATGAATGTGAAGAGTGTTCGCTGAGCAGTGTGAAACAACTAGGCACGTGCATGTACTGCATGCATGTAAGCGTTCCCTTGCACATCCTTTCACCTTCACAGTCAAGGTTGCACAACTCTATAGAGTTTTGGGCACTGCAGCATAAGTGAGATAAATGTGGTCATTGACAACGGGTGAGTTTTCAGACTTGTGTAGGTTCAGTTATCTCGCTTTCCACTCCAGTCTAGCGCTCGCTCTGCCCTACTTTTGTTCTTTTTGGACTGCATGAATGTTGCGCTCATTGCTTTGCAGGAGCTGCCCATTCTTGCTTCAGCATGACTGGTGAATTATCATGGTCGCTCACACATTGGGCTACGCATCATTGCTTACGGGAGTCTCCGTATTGAGTGGCCAGACTGTCTGAATTCCTGGCGTCCCGTGCAACTTTCTAGAACGCCAAGGTAAGCTATATTACTGTAGTGGTGTCATGAATTACAGTTCATTTGATACCTTTCACATGGGCACATTAGTGCTATCGAAGAAGGAAAAAAAAAAAATCTAGGATGGCATGTGTTACCACGCAGCTAGCCTTGGCCAGCCAGCCTACTTAGACACTACTACATAATGTTCTCTTCTAGATTTATCCACATGATGACGTTTAGAGAATAGTTTTCTTGCTGCTGGTAGACTGTTTCAAAATACCGTTTGTTACTCTGTAGCTATCAGTTGCACCACCATTACAACCATGGTCACAATCGAACCTTGCCTTGTGCTTTCTGGTTTACTCTTTTGTCCACACTATGCACAATGTGTTGGCTAGAAACTACTGCTGTGTTGGGACCGATTTCCCTCTAAACTTTCTTGCATTGGTGACTTTCGTAATGCATAGGTGCTATGGATGCATATTATGCTATGGTGCTATGTATGCATAGGTGCGATTAATGCATCCATAGTTGCTATGGATACATTTCGCACACAAACCCAGCGGGAAGGAGATCCAACCTGGACATCGAAGGGGGAGCACAACTTTTTCATCTGTCAGCTCCTTTGTTCTTGTAGCTTGCTCGGACTCGCAAACGGTGCCTTGCGCCTGACGTGAATGCATACCTTTTGTTGCCCTTTCCGAACGCTAGGCTGAAGAGCGGTGCGGTGTGTCAAGCCATGCCTACGTCAAGCCATGCCTCCCAAAGCCAACGCGAGCGAAGTTTGCCCTCGCTCGAATGATTGGGTCTTGTGGTCACATATCGTGAGAACACGCAGCATAGTTGTGAGGGCCCGTTTCTCTCTGCGGCGTGCCACCGTGAATCCCTTTTGCCCAGAGTGACGTGCTCGCGGCACCCTTTGTGTTGTACTTTTCGTTTTTGGCGTGGATAAGCCTTGTTTACTTTCCCGCCACCTTTTGCAACAGGCACTGTACTGCGTTTTTGGTGTTGCCGCAGGCAATAAAGCGTTGCCACTTGTTTGAGAGCATTACTGTGTACTTGCCACGCTGTTCTCGGTGCCTTGGCTGTCCTAACGGGTGTGTGCAGGGGCGTTAGTCATGGGAGGTGAAAGTGAACGCGGCCCTGTTGCTCGCTAAGACCAAACTCAGGCTTGTGGCAGTACTTCTTTAGGATATGTGTACACTACACTGGCACCCAACATACACTAAATGTTCACCATGGCAGACGTTGATATTATTGTGATGCTGTCACAACATCAGCATTTGCTGACCGCTGTTTTTCTGTGCTATATGTATTCAGTAGTATAGGCAATCAACAATCTTCTCATAACGGATGAAATCACAGGTATTCCAGTAAAATCGCTATTAGACTTGCACCTCTGAACCTAAGGTACACAATGCCCAGATAAATTTGTTCTTTCTGTAGACTGGCCAGGACAACCCTCTTAGTGCCTATCGCAATGTCTGACAACTCGTAAAACAGTGAGGAGCTATTTTGCTGCCAGTGGCTTGACGTGACTTTCACGAATGCTTGCTCCTTTTGGATTGGAGTGGCCAACTGCCTTACAAGTGATAATTGAGAGAGAGAGACAACTCTTTATATAAAAGCATAGATTTTAGCCAGCTTGTACAAATAGCTGACTTACTACTCTGCGTGAGGAAGGGGATTGAAAGTATGGACAAGGAGAAAGAGAAGAAAAAGAAAAGTTAAGATATTAAGAAAGAAGATAGAATAAAAAATAATTGTTATAATTGTAACCATGAGGAAATGATTGCTAATTTTTTGGGGGGACTGTTCCCCTTTCAGCCCAGCCAAAAAAAGAAAGCTTTAACATGCGAATTTGGGATTAAATGTAGGGATAGGGAGAGAGAAAGAAAAAAAAAAGACAAGAAGTTAAGATAAACAATATAAAGAATGCCAGGCCTGCGCAGAAGGCACAGCACAGTCACAGCGAAAGCTAGAAGAGCGGCCTTTCAAAGCTTTTTTTAAACACTCATTGGGTAACTGCTGCAAGCACACTAGCCAGGTATCCACTTCGTCTTTAATCTGGGGCCCTCATCTTGAGGTTGTTTTTGGTTCCAGGCTGTATTCCAGTGCTGTGCCTGAACCTGTGCCTTGACCGGAAGCTCTGCTGGGAACAGTAGCCGTGCCTGCGGTGCTGACACTCTTCTGCGGCCACGCCTCGTGTTAGGCCACCCACGCCGTTATGCCACGATGTCGTCCGGGTCATCAAGACCGACCAGTAAGCCCTGCTGCTTTGCTACAACTACAGTTCCGCAGACTTTGAGTGCTTGACTGACGACAGGGTCTAGTATACTCTAGGATGTTCATGTCTATGTTATAAATGTTAGTGCCGGCCATGTCCTTTGTTTTGTTTCATTGAAGTGTCCCTCTGTGTCTTTTGGTGCGTTCTTCGTTTGGCCAACCTGTGCTCACATTCGGATTCCCACTCATGTACAGAGATGCTCAAAAAAGTGGACGAAGACCTGTTATGACACTTTGGTTAGTTGAGCATTGGACGCGTAATATGAAGGTTGAAAGGTCACATCCAATAAAATAGGGGATTTTATTCTAGTACTTCGATTAGGGGTGTCCGAACAGCAGACTTGGAACCGAATCGAATATGAATTGTAATTGAATACTGTTCGAATAGTCTTCAAATAGTAACTATACCATTTTTACAACAGTCTTAGAACACAACATTTTGTTTGAAACAAACATTCACAAACATTTACCGAAGACCATTACAATTACCTTTAGTTGACTCAAAATGCAGTCGAGCCCACATACCGGGTGTTCAAAATTAAGCTTTATGATTTTTTTAAAATTAGGCGCTCGAAGGCACGTGAGAACCACTTGTGCAAATAAGTTAAGCGGCCAGGGGGACAGAAAGTTAGATGATAATTATCGCTGTCAGCAGCCCAATTAACTAAAATTTAATAATTAACTTTTTACTGGCTGCGGTAAGTTGGCATGTTTATATTGAAAAAATGTAGGCAGTGGTGTTTGTACACAGTTTCAGTTGGAAGATTTTTTCTAGCACGCCTGTGTTCCGAGATATCCGGCTCCAAAGTTTAATTGTCTTTCGCACGATTACGCATGCAAGAGGGTGAGGGTCCGCGCAAAGCTCCTCCCTAAAGTGACGCATCTGTTGCGTGTGGTGTTTAGTGTGTGAAGAGGGTGGAAGCGTAGGCATAGGTGATAGCAATTACCCTTGCCCTCTTCGGCCGGCGAAATCAAAATGTGACAGCGCGGTGCGCCATGAGCCTTACGCATGATCCTGATGAACGCGATAACAGGAGACCATTTTTCGCGACGTTTTTTCGTGACTTTAGATCACACTGAGACATCTTCTTGTGAACGCGTTAGCAGGACCGTCCTGCACTAGGGTGCCTCCGGTTAGAGCACAGCGTCTCTGCATTGAAGGTCTACCAAGGAAATCCACGTGGAGTCCTTTCGAGCTAATATGGCTGCTTCTGGCGTGAGGTATTCTACCAAAGTAAAAGTAGACGTGGTGCTTGCAATGGCTGAAATGAATGGCAACGCTTCGTTAGCAATGGAGCTTTACGCGTCTCGCCACCCACACCGTCCCCTTCCAACAAGGCCCACTTTCACAAACCTGTTTCGACGCTTCTGCACAACAGGCTCTGTCCACCTTCCGAGACGGACCAGGAAGGCAATCGTCGATGAAGACTTTGAAATCGACGTTGTCGCGTGCGTAACCTCGATGCCAGAGCTCAGCATCCGACAGATTGCCGATCAGTGCGGTCGCAGCATCGGAACAGTCACAAATGTTTTAAGAAAGCACAAGTTCCATCCATATCACGTTTACCTTCATCAGGACCTAAATGAGGCGGACTTTGAAAGGCGAGTTGACTTCTGCAATTGGGGCCTCATCAAAACTGATCAAGAAAATGACTTTTTGCACAGAATAATTTGGACTGATGAAGCTCGGTTTTGCCGAAATGGAAGTGTTAATCTTCACAACGCCCATTATTGGGCACAAGAAAACCCACACTGGCTGAGGCAGCACAAGCATCAAGTTCGCTGGAGTGTGAATGTGTGGTGCGGCATACTCGGGGACAGGATCATCGGACCTCACTTTTTTGAGGACAACTTGAACGGAAAGATGTACACAGAAGAAATATTAGGTGTTGTCATTGATGATCTTGTCTGCAGTCTTTCCCTGAATGACCTGCGCCAAGTATGGTTTCAGCACGATGGAGCACCACCACATTTTTCTACCAGGGCGAAGAACTGGTTGGACAGACGTTTTCCACAACAGTGGATTGGGCGCGCAGGAGCGATGTTTTGGCCACCAAGATCACCTGACCTTTCTCCGCTCGACTTTTTCCTTTGGGGCTACGTTAAAGATCGAGTTTACGTAACAGAGCCCAGCGATGTTAATGACATGAAGGACAGGATAACATCTGCCTGTGCGAGTATTCCTGCAGAAGTACTGCGCCGAGTCATCGAGTCGACGCGACAGCGGTTCATGCTTTGCGTTGCTGCCGAAGGCAGGCATTTTGAACACTTTTTGGGGCATTGACGTCTTGAGAGGTGAAGAGTTTCGATGAGATTTGTGCATGACCGAAATATGCTTATGTAGCAGCAGGAAATATGCGTTAGCAAGGATAAAACTGTTTCAGTTATTATTGGTGGAGTTGTTGCTCTTGTTTCAATAAAAGTTACAGTACTCGGACATCAGCAGTCACGCTATTCGCGTAGCCCAGGCAACGACCACGCATGCTTCTCTAGTGATTATTACGCACGCGCACTGGCATCCAGATTCTCCGCTCGCACCATTATCTCGGCATGGTATCTGCCACTATCGTTAGAGGCTCTGCAGTTGCGTGTTACGACACTGGTTGCAAGCGTTCTTCGATTTTTGATTTCGACGGCCGAAGAGGGCAAGGGTAATTGCTATCACCTATGCCTACGCTTCCACCCTCTTCACACACTAAACACCACACGCAACAGATGCGTCACTTTAGGGAGGAGCTTTGCGCGGACCCTCACCCTCTTGCATGCGTAATCGTGCGAAAGACAATTAAACTTTGGAGCCGGATATCTCGGAACACAGGCGTGCTAGAAAAAATCTTCCAACTGAAACTGTGTACAAACACCACTGCCTACATTTTTTCAATATAAACATGCCAACTTACCGCAGCCAGTAAAAAGTTAATTATTAAATTTTAGTTAATTGGGCTGCTGACAGCGATAATTATCATCTAACTTTCTGTCCCCCTGGCCGCTTAACTTATTTGCACAAGTGGTTCTCACGTGCCTTCGAGCGCCTAATTTTAAAAAAATCATAAAGCTTAATTTTGAACACCCGGTATAACGGCCCCACTTAAAATGAACTTTCGCTTAAAATCAACAGTACTCGCTTGACTGGGGAAGTGTACATAATTTAAATCGCACATAGTCGCACTTACAACAAACGTCTCTGAGCACCGCCGATCGGTTTCAGAGAGTGAAGTTGGTGCTCCGACGACTTTCTGGAACACCACTTTCGACCACCGATAAGTCATTGGCGAGGTGTTTATAGATTCTTATTGCTAAGCGCCAACCCCATCTCTGCAACCCTCTAGTTGTCGCTCTCTCCCACCGTTTTTTGTTACGCACACTCCGTTATTTGCCCCCCCCCCCCCCCCTACTCTGAGCACCCCGCATCGCCAGACAAGGCCCGTATTTTTATACTGCCACCAATCTTTCGAAGGCTGGTCAGCTGACTAGTCCCCCCTTGTTTGGTCGCTGGTCTTGTTGGGGTCACCGGCCTAGACTGACTAGACCATTTGCCTACATTGTCAGCCGTCGACTGTACCCGATAATGCCTTGTCTAAATCAATGTTGTATTGTTCTAGTGCACACAATTGTACCTTGCACTACCCCACCGAATTTTATATTTCGCGATTCGTTCCGTGTTTAGGACCTGTTCTCGCTTACTTCGCACTCTGTTGAGCATGCCGTCCGCACGTGTGCGAAAGCGTAAAAATGGCTGTTACACGAAACGAGTCGTGAATAATGAAGTCGGTGGGGCTTCGCAAGTGCGCCGCCATCACAATACGATTTTGGGACCTCTACGAGCGCAGGCCACTGTCTCAAGTGTGCGTTTCGTGGACGTTTTTAGTGAACTACCAGACCTGCCTTTTCAAGGTCTCCTTCGCCCGTCTCCACCACTTTGCGATGCCATTCACACTGGCTCGAATGAATAAGTTTATTTCTTGGCTAGAAATGGGCCCAGAGCAGTTCCACGCGTTTCGGCTTGTATGGCACGCGTGCGCGTCAGGTTCGCTGTTGGTGTGCATGTGTGGTCAGGAAGGCAAATAGAAGGCCTTCTGTGCCTTTTCATGTTGTTCGTCACAACATTGAAGGTGCAGCTGCTTGGCTTGGGTGTAATTAGCATGTTTAAGACTTGCTGTAGATGCCGTGTTGTAGAGTGCTTGCTTGTAGTTGTTGACAGCCCGGTAGCTGGCTTGCCACTCCGGCTGTCCCTGTATTCAGCTGTGGAGATGGGGATGGTTTCGTGGGTGGACGTGATGGCTACATGTCTGCGAAACTGTTTTCGTGAGGCTGACTTCTATGACGAGCCTGAAGCTTCCAAAGGGACCACTCTGGCAGCGATTTGTGGCAGCGTGGCATTGACTCTGAAGTGGGAAGGCAGGACATCTGTTGAGATGATTTTGTTACGACCGATAGTGATGCTCACTTTGTGGAACTGTGGGCGTATGAGGGCATCGTGGTGGCAAGAGCGATTTGGAGGAATCAGATGATGACGATGACAAAACTTGGAGCCTGTGCCCTCGAACATGCTTGTAGCAATTGGCTACATTAATAGTGTCAGGCAGCTAAAGACCTTGGCGAAGAGCACTCTGCCACCTAAAATAAACTCTAGACCACCCTTATCGCTCCTCCTCTTCAAAACCCGTGCATTATGGATTTAAAAAAATTGTGTTTTCACTTGCTACTGTTTTGAAACTGAGTTTCATTTACTACGAACTTTTGAATACAGAAAATGGATGCTGCTTTTTCGTTATAAGTGGGCTCGTCTTATACAACTACGAAAACTAAGGTAAGATCATATACAGCAGGAACTAGAGGCTTCGTAATACTTTGTAACTCTCGTTTCAAACACAGCATTTACTAACGTTACCAATGTGAGAGATTGTTACGCCATTTGAAATAAAACTGGGACACACAAAGTAAGCATTTTTCTACCAAACACCGCAGATACAGCTAGAGATGTAATGAAGCAGATTAACGTGTCATTATAACATGTAACACAACCAAAAGCATGTAACAATCTACATTTGCAAGAACAATTTACATGAACGGCACACTCGCATCTGTTATTAGTCGTGAAGCTGTAAGCAGTTGTGGTCTGCGCGTACAGTTATCCCAAGATGTAGTCAGGAGCTGATTAATGCAATGCAGCTTCAGCATAGTAAAAAGTGAGAAAGAGTGGAGTTTTGAGACGAAACAATCCACCCAGCGAACAATATGGTGTCG